AGGAACAGATTAAACATAGGAGGTGCCAGTGACAGAATAAAGGCCTTATGGGTGTTATGTAGATACACAAAAAAGGGTTTTGCATGTAAGTCTGCTTTAGGAAAGACTAACTTCACATTTTTATATGTTTGCGCTCTATTTATGTAACTAAAAGAAAAACATATTTTTAAACCTTCTGTGTGCTTTCAAATCCTTTATGAAACATGGATTCAGGGGGAAACTGCTTGCATAGCTCTGTCCAAAGGTAACAAAATCTGCCTGCCAGCCCCTCATTGTACCTCTTGGTTTTGGTAAGGATTAAACAAACAAGATATAAAGTGTTGAACTTAGAGCTTCCATAAAATGGTTGCCTGTCTTCAAGGCTTCACACAAGTCAAGTCAAGTAATAAAAAATGTAAAATTACACTATAAAAGAGGTGTTGGTTGAATACCAAACGTCTGACATCAGTGATGGATGAGTGAATGAACCCTTAGGTGCTAGTTTTATGGGTGTGGGTGCACTCTGCCCAGGTTGTGTGGTAAGAACAGTGATGATGGTGATTGATCAATAAATCCTGTTCATAACACACACACACACACACACACACACACACACACACACACCACACACAAACACACACACTCACTCACTGACGTGCCGCTAATTTATTGCTGGAACTTGAGGATTCTCCTATGTGGATGTGGTCACTACATTAAAAGGAATAAATATAGAACACATACAGATATTAAGCATATGCAATATTGATAAACATAAAGAGTATACTTCCATATATGGAACTGTGAGTTCTTGATTGATCGGGCAAAGTGATATTCCAGAAAACTGCAGCGACGATTAAAGCCGTCCTCCACGGCTCGGGCCAGACGTCTCACCCTGCATGCCCGAGGACAGACGAATGGAGACCTAAGATCAGTGTCAAAAAGTTGGTTCACGTGAACTCCATGCACAGGCCACAGACTCTAGAACTGAGCATGTGAATTGTGCGTGGGATGAAAGAGGGATGCCTGTGGTCTGTAACGGATGAAGAGTGGATGACCTTCTTAACAGACACAGTGCGGATAAAAAAGAAAAGGCTTAACGAACCAAAATGAATGTCAGAAACTAAGTAGAATGATTTTAAACAGGTCAACAATAGAAACAAAAAGTGCAGTGTCAAACTAAATAATAATAAATAAAAAAAACAATAACTGAAACAAACATCTTTGGAATAATGAAACAGTTTAACAGATTAAATTCAGTTACTTTTTTCTTCAATAAATAAAATAAAAATGAATATAATGATCCTCTTTATCTCTAACTGCTCTGTTCCACACTCACACAGACCTTCCGTGGTACAATGCTCAGTTTATCCACAATGCGAATGTATGGAAACATCTTCTCGGTGAAAGTATGTGTGAAGGTGCCTATGCATGTGTTAGTATCAGGATCAGAGAAAGACAGGGTCCCGCTGTCCCAGTCCAGATTCACTCTGATCCTCCGGAACTTCCTCTGCTCTCTGAGACTAATGATCGGACCTGGTAGCGACTGTGCAGAGTATACGCCTTCACGGAACCACATTCTCCATAATCCAGACAGTATGCGTCCCTTCCTCTTGGCAGACTCTGCTAACACACCTACAAGCCAGTGTCCACTGTCTCCAACATCAATATCCCAGCTGTGGTTCCCAGAGTTAAAGCCCTCAGAGCCCAGAACAGACACGCCATAATCAAACCTCTCCAGATTATCAGGGAGCTGCTTCTTCTCTCCTCGTTTTGCACTGGTCAGATCTTTGGATAAGATGAGTTCTGGGTCAGCAGTGTTTGGATCCAGAAGCACAGGAGTGTAGGAAACCATCTCTTTCATCTTGTTCCAGATGTTGAAGGTCAGGTTGCCCAGGTGTTTGGCTTCGTCGATCAGAGCTCCTGAGCCCAGCTGTGGATCCTCCAGCAGGAGCCGCTGCCGGACTCTTTCCATTGCAGCCTTGTAGTTCTGCAGGAATGTGACGTCTTCGGCTCTCAGCTCCTCCTCTGTGGCTCTGACTGTGTCTGAAAGAGCTGCTATCTCTCTGCTCAGAGTCTGAATCTTCTCCTTCAGCATCTGACTCTTCTGCTCCTCTTCCTCCCTCAGCACTGCTATCCTGGTCTCCTCTTCTTCCTTTAGAAAGTGGTGAAGCTTCTGAAACTGCTCCTTAATCTTCTTCTCCGTGTATCTCGCTTTGAACTTATAAACTTATAATGTGTTTTGCTGTTTGATCAAACTTTACTTTAACTTGTTCAAATACCTTCAACTTTTCCTTCAGGGGCTCCAGAGTTCCCTGAAGGTTCTTCTTGCGTTGTTGTGTAGCTTCATCGATGGGTCTGAATCGGTGGTTGGTGTGTTTTTCTGAATCTCTGCATACGATGCACACCGGCTGCTGGTGGTCCAGACAGAAGAGTTTGAGTTTCTCAGAGTGCAGACTGCAGAGAGCCCCTGAAGCTCTCTGATCTCTCTCCATCAAGAAGGCTTCACACATGTTCTTCAACACCAGACTAACAGGTGGTTCTGCCTTGGAAGATATTGTCTTACAAATTGGACACGCCTGTGATTGTTTCTGTCTCCACCACTCCTTCAGACAGTCTTTACAGAAGCTGTGGCTACATGGTACAACAACAGGGTTTTTAAAGATGTCATGACAGACTGAACAATAGAGTTCCTCCTCTGATCTGGAAGCCATTTTGTCTCTGAGTGAAGCTGAAACCACAGTAGACAAAATTACAGTCAGTCACTGAAATACTTTCACTTCCTTCAGTCCTGTTTTTAATCAAACTCACATTCAGTCTGTGGATTGTCAGCAAGTTGAGGCAGAAGTGTTCTACTTTTCCACTTTTCTCTCCTGTAGCTGAACTCACATGGAGGTTATTACTTTGTTCTGCAGGTGAGTCCGATCGTCTGCTTTTCAGTCTGTGCGTCTCTTTAAAGATGAAGAACAACAAGCTGTTTTCTGGTTCGTCCCGAGTGAGTCAGAGGAGGGGTGGAGCTTTCTCAGACCTCCTCTGCTGAATGTTGTTGCTTCACACGTAACACAGGGCAGGAATCAACAACTGTATGAATGGTGAAGCAACACTATCCAGTAAAGGGTGGTGATGTTACAGGCCCAGTAATAAATAAATAATAATAAAGTGGAAAACCTCCTCCTGGGAGCTGCAGAAATAAACTCTCTTGAGATGATCAAGTTTATTGTTCTGACTGACAAAAATATATATTAATACAGATTGAGATGTGCTGAAAAAGTACTAAGAAGGTTGCTAGTGTAGCACCCCTAATGCTAACCCAAAGGAAGTAATAGTAGGGCAACCAACATCTACCTAGGTCAGAGGTGTGGTGCCTTGAATAACTCCGGACAAGTTTGAATGGGGATTGAACAGTTGACAGTATTTATTGCCTCAGGTAACCCAACCATATCAACAGCAATTTAAATGGAATGAAAATATAAAATATAAAATAAAATAGAGCTCTCTCAGTTCCTGATCCTTGTATGTTTGTGCACTGAGTCTGCTACTACCCGGGTAGAGTTAATAGTGTGTACGCATTCTTATCTGTTCCTGAATGGGCAAACTAGTCAGATGTCCTCTGTGGCTGGTCGTGCAGCAGGCGTCACCGAGTCCCCGACCCTCCACAGTCCCTCTGGGCTGGGCTCGCCATCATTGGATCCTCAAGATTCTTTCTGGTAGCTCAATAAAACCAACCTGCACAAGTACTGCAGAGTATTAAGTTACTCTGTTCTGTTCTTATTTCTAACATGAGACCTCATTAACTTATTTTCTGAGTTAGTGCATCAATAACCAATGACTAGAACATACTTTGTTGACAATGGAATGAACTACCACATGCAATAGCAACTGGTATTTTAAGCACCAACAAGTATTAATCATGAATTTCTACATTCTCTTCTTTTTTACTACCAAATTTCCTATTTGTGGCTTCATAGACAGTGTTTCCTTGCTGATATTAACAAAAACAGAAAATGTAATACTACAAATGTTTTAACCGTAATGCAGTCTGCTGAAGCTACATATGAAGTACAGCGTAAATTTGAATTTTTGGACAGAAATATTTCGATTTCTTTCTCCCATCCCTTACAGTTTGGTGTTAGTAGCGGCTAATTTAGCCCTGAGCAGCTAGCCTTAAGCACAGATGAGGAAATCCACACTTTTTTGATTTTCAAACTTCTTGTCTGCTGCATCAACTGGCACTTACTCAAGTTACATCATTTGAGGAAATGTATCAGCTTTATCAGAGCCACAAAACACTTTACACAACTGTTGATAATACATATGGAGTACTACAACAAAAGACAGTAAATAGACTTTGATCAAGAAATCAAACCCCAACATTTAACTTATTAAAACTCAAGTTTTGACAGGTTATTTACTCAATAAATACATAAATTAATTGTAAATTTCTCTTATATAAAAAGTACTATTACCAAAATACTATTATTAAGACAATCTTTTGACTCTGGGTCTAATGAATCCATTATACTAGCATTGAAACAGTTTCTAAAAAGAGCCACCTAAAAGAACCCAACCCTAATTGTAGCTAAGCTTAGGTTCCTCTTTGATACCTCTTACAATGCCTTTTCAATCAAACTGTATGGGTTATAAAGTTCAATATGATATATAGTAATACTGTTGTTTCCAAAAAGAGTGTCCGCTTGGCGAACACAATGAGCATCACTTCCGATTTGCAGAGACTGATAGTTGAGTTTGTCTTTATCTCTGTCTGACAGCAGGAATCATGTTGTCATTTTCTTTGGGCAAACCACAGTTACTGTGTGGCACCTTGGACAACACTGATAGAGTGAGTGGTGCTGCCGATGAGACAGGTTGCCCTTTGCTTTATGGAACAAGTTTTGGACTCTTCAGCATCAAAGTCAACTCTGCACAATATTAAGATGGAGCACATTGTATAAGACGGCAAAAAACAGGGTCATTATGGAAAAGGACCACAGCTAAGTGCTAAGACTGTATACACGGAGCAGAGATACCAAAACAATCTTTATTGTCATCTTGATCATTGTAATATCTCAACATTCATTTCAAATAGCATATAAAATATGCTACTTAACATTTCTTTGTAAATCCTTTAATAGCAACTTTTGCAGAATTTACAAGTCATATCAACCATATATAATTAAAGCATAATGCATAATTAACGCAACTGTGTTACCAAATTGTAACACCCAGTCAAATTATGCAAATGCAAATTGAATTAAATTAAGTGTCATGTTGAATGCAACCCAACTGAATGATGCAGCTTGGGCTGATTGAAAGCCCTGATGTGTTTACTGTGATGAGACCTGATTAGCTCATTCCCATTGGATGAAAAATGTATGAATTGTTGTAGGAATTTCAAAGCCAAAGGGGCATTGTTCAATCATTGAAATTCAGACCATCACTCATGCTGGAGTGCTCGCGCTGTCCTTGTTACCAGATCCACAGTCATACTGTGTATATGAATATTACCTCTGCAGCTCCCCCCCACCACCACATGTTAGTCTTTCATTGTTAGAGGTCTGAATCACAGCACAAAGGGTGGGGGAAAAAAAGGAAAAGGCTTAACAAACCAAAAATAAAAGTCAGAAACTAAGTAGAATGATTTTAAACAGGTCAACAATAGAAACAAAAAGTGCAGTGTCAAACTTAATTAAAAAAAATAAAAAAACTATAACTGAAACAAACATCTTGGGAATAATGAAACAGTTTAACAGATTAAATTCAGTTACTTTTTTCTTCAATAAATAAAATAAAAATGAATATAATGATCCTCTTTATCTCTAACTGCTCTGTTCCACACTCACACAGACCTTCCGTGGTACAATGCTCAGTTTATCCGCAATGCGAATGTATGGAAACATCTTCTCTGTGAAAGTCTGCGTGAAGGTGCATATGTATGTGTTAGTATCAGGATCAGAGAACGACAGGGTCCCGCTGTCCCAGTCCAGATTCACTCTGATCCTCCGGAACTTCCTCTGCACTCCGAGACCAATGATCGGACCTGGTAGCGACTGTGCCGAGTATACGCCTTCACAGAACCACATTCTCCATAATCCAGACAGTATGCGTCCCTTCCTCTGGGCAGACTCTGCTAACACACCCACCAGCCAGCTTCCACTGTCTCCAACCTCAATATCCCAGTTGTGGTTCCCCGAGTTAAAGCCCTCAGAGCCCAGGACAGACCAATTATAATCAAACCTCTCCGGATTATCAGGGAGCTGCTTCTTCTCTCCTCGTTTTGCACTGGTCAGATCTTCAGATAAGATGAGTTCTGGGTCAGCAGTGTTTGGATCCAGAAGCACAGGAGTGTAGGAAACCATCTCTTTCATCTTGTTCCAGATGTTGAAGGTCAGGTTGCCCAGGTGTTTGGCTTCGTCGATCAGAGCTCCTGAGCCCAGCTGTGGATCCTCCAGCAGGGGCCGCTGCCGGACTCTTTCGATTGCAGCCTTGTAGTTCTGCAGGAATGTGACGTCTTCGGCTCTCAGCTCCTCCTCTGTGGCTCTGACTGTGTCTGAAAGAGCTGCTATCTCTCTGCTCAGAGTCTCAATCTTCTCCTTCAGCATCTGACTCTTCTGCTCCTCTTCCTCCCTCAGCGCAGCTATCCTGGTCTCCTCTTCCTCCTCTAGAAAGTGATGAAGCTTCTGAAACTGCTCCTTAATCTTCCTCTCCGTGTATCTCGCTTTGAACTTAATGTGTTCTGCTGTTTGATCAAACTTTACTTTAACTTGTTCAAAAAGCTTCAACTTCTCCTTCAGGGGCTCCAGAGTTTCCTGAAGGTTCTTCTTGGGTTGTTGTGTAGCTTCATCGATGGGTCTGAATCGGTGGTTGGTGTGTTTTTCTGAATCTCTGCATACGACGCACACCGGCTGCTGGTGGTCCAGACAGAAGAGTTTGAGTTTCTCAGAGTGCAGACTGCAGAGAGCCCCTGAAGCTCTCTGATCTCTCTCCATCAAGAAGGCTTCACACATGTTCTTCAACACCAGACTAACAGGTGGTTCTCCCTTCGAAGATATTGTCTTACAAATTGGACACTCCCGTGATTGTTTCTGTCTCCACCACTTCTTCAGACAGTCTTTACAGAAGCTGTGGCTACATGGCACAACAACAGGGTTTTTAAAGATGTCATGACAGACTGAACAATAGAGTTCCTCCTCTGATCTGGAAGCCATTTTGTCTCTGAGTGAAGCTGAAACCACAGTAGACAAAATTACAGTCAGTCACTGAAATACTTTCACTTTCACTCCCGTTTTTAGTCAAACTCACATTCAGTCTGTGGATTGTCAGCAGGTTGAGGCAGAAGGGTTCTACTTTTCCACTTTTCTCTCCTGTAGCTGAACTCACATGGAGGTTATTACTTTGTTCTGCAGGTGAATCTGATCGTCTGCTTTTCAGTCTGTGCGTCTCTTTAAAGATGAAGAACAACAAGCTGTTTCCTTGTTCGTCCCGAGTGAGTCAGAGGAGGGGTGGAGCTTTCTCAGACCTCCTCTGCTGAATGTTGCTGCTCCACACGTAACACAGGGCAGGAATCAACAACTGCATGAATGGTGAAGCAACACTATCCAGTAAAGGGTGGTGATGTTACAGGCCCAGTAATAAATAATAATAAAGTGGAAAACCTCCTCCTGGGAGCTGCAGAACTAATCTCTCTTGAGATGATCAAGTTTATTGTTCTGACTGACAAAGATATATTATAATACAGATTGAGATGTGTTGAAAAAGAACTAAGAAAGTTGCTAGTGTAGCACCCCTAATGCTAACCCAAAGGAAATAATATAAGGGCAACCAACATCTACCTAGGTCCAAGGTGTGGTGCCTTGAATAACTCCGGGTTTGTATGGGGATTGAACAGTTGACAGTATGTATTGCTTCAGGCAACCCAACCATATCAACAGCAATTTAAATGGAATGAAAATATAAAATAAAATAGAACTCTCTCAGTTTAAAATTATAATAAAAGAAAAGAAATAGTCCTTTAAGGAGTCTGATATTGAGTTCAGAGTTCAGTTCGTATGGGTTACACTAGTGACTATTTCTATCAGGTTCCAAGGTGGTATCTGTTTACCTTTGCTAGAGTACATACATCTGAATGGTGGTGTATTGTCCTGGTTGACAATGCCAGTAAAGTGAGTGAGTTGAGCAATGGCAGGTTTGTTGTGGAAGTTCTTCCAAAGATTGAGAGTTGCTAGTTCCCTGAAGAAATTTCAAGCCGGTGTGATGAATGAAAACACTTCATTAAATGCAGCATGGAGAGAAGACCACAGCATGAATATTCTCTGTAAATTACACATGGAAGGTTGAGGTCTCCAACACAGGGTCCTTTGATCTGACCCTGTGACTGTGATCAAATTCTTATCAGTCACTCCCTTACCATGAAAACTGGGTGTGAACGTGTATGTTTATGTAGATAAATAACTACATATTGTTTTATATTATAATTTCTTTTCTTTTTGTTATGCAACCTTGTGTTGTGTAATGACAAAATAAATTGCCTTGCACCTTGTACCTTTGAGCTCAGCTGAGGCTGATATGAAGCTTCAGCCGTCTGTGTTTGACAAGTCTTTTTACTACCACATTTCCTATTTGTGGCTCCACAGACAGTGTCTCCTTGCTGATATTAACAAAAACAGGAAATTTAATACTAAAAATATTGTAACTGTAATCAGTCTGCTGAAGCTACATATTAACTTCAGCATAACGGTGCATCATTTTTGCACGGACATTTTTTGATTTTCTTTCTCCCATCACAGTTTGGTGTTATGTAATTTATCAGCTCTATCAGAGCCACAAAACACACAACTATTGATAATACATATGGAGTACTACTACAAAAGACAGTAAATAGACTTTGATGATCAAGAAATCAAACCCCAACATTTAACTAATTAAAAGTTTTGACAGATTATTTACTCAATGAATACCTACATTAATTGTACATTACTTTTATATGAAAAGTACTATTACCAAAATACTATTATTAAGACACTCTTTTGACTCTGGGTCTAATGAATCCATTATACTAGCATTGAAACAGTTTCTAAAAAGAGCCACCTAGAAGAACCCAACCCTATAGTAATACTGTTGTTTCCAAAAAGAGTGTCCGCTTGGCAAACACAATGAGCATCACTTCCGATTTGCAGAGACTGATAGTTGAGTTTGTCTTTATCTCTGTCTGACAGCAGGAATCATGTTGTCATTTTCCTGGTGGCAAACCACAGTTACTGTGTGGCACCTTGGACAACACTGATAGAGTGAGTGGTGCTGCCGATGAGACAGGCTGCCCTTTGCTTTATGGAACAAGTTTTGGACTCTTCAGCATCAAAGTCAACTCTGCACAATATTAAGATGGAGCACATTGTATAAGACGGCAAAAAAACCACAGCTGGACCACAGCTAAGTGCTAAGACTGTATACACGGAGCAGAGATACCAAAACAATCTTCATTGTCATCTTGATCATTGTAATATCTCAACAGTCATTTCAAATAGCATATAAAATATGCTACTTAACATTTATTTGTAAATCCTTTAATAGCAACTTTTGCAGAATTTACAAGTCATATCAACCATATATAATTAAAGCATAATGCATAATTAACGCAACTGTGTTACCAAATTGTAACTCGAATTTAATTAAATTAAGTGTCATGTTGAACGCAACCCAACTGAATGATGCAGCTTGGGCTGATTGAAAGCCCTGATGTGTTTACTGTGATGAGACCTGATTAGCTCATTCACATTGGATGAAAAATGTATGAATTGTTGTAGGAATTTCAAAGCCAAAGGGGCATTGTTAAATCATTGAAATTCAGACCATCACTCATGCTGGAGTGCTCGCGCTGTCCTTGTTGCCAGATCCACAGTCATGCTGTGTATATGAATATTACCTCTGCAGCTCCCCCCCACCACCACATGTGTGTCTTTCATTGAACAGTTAGACAGAGACAGAGAGAGAGAGAATATGTGCAATTCTGGCTGACACAGCAGTTACGACACAGCGGTGAGGCAGCTTGTCGGTCTGGACTCAATCACCTGAACGCAGTGGGGAAGGGCAAGAGTGCAGAGGAGGTGTGCGAGGGGAAGAAACAATCACGCCAGCCCCGCGTCCACACTCAGCACTCTGGCATGACCGAACTGTGCGAGCGACTTCCCTCTGCACCACAGGCAGGAGTTGTGCTGCTGCTCAGCTCTCTGCACGAGACACACACACACTCTCTGTAACGTGAAAGCACAGCGCAGTCTCTTCAGCAACCAGTCGCTGTCTCTGCCTCTGTCCTAAGCACTCACACAGAGAAAAGTATGAAGGGTAATGCAATGCAAATGAGGTCTGAATCACAGCACAAAGGGTGGGGGGAAAAAAAGGAAAGAAGAGGCAATAAAATCTGAGATAGAGGGAGGCAAAAGTCAAGAAAAAAGCCAGATAGTGTGTGTGTCAAGCTTTTAAAGCAGATTGAACCTTGGATGAAAGGAGGGAAAAGAGGCGGAGAGTATAAAGGCGGCGTCCTCCATTAGGAAGCAAGGAACAGCGGTCAATAAAGGACACCCAGAACTCCACCTCCTTCCCATGCTGAGAGGGAACTTGTGTGTGATGATGAGTGTGTCTAAATCCACCAGCAGTTGAACCAGTGTGCCAGCCTGCAACTGTTCTTCTCTGCCACAGCACACAGCAGCACTGCAGAGGATTTGGCAGCCCAGAGGATCTGTCGGAGCGGCTACAGATTTCGGGGTGGGGTAAACAGTCAGCTCAGACGTGTGCCTCACTGTCAGCTCCTGGACACTCAGTTGCAACAGTCTGGAGATGGGTAGAAGATGAGGAGGAGGAGGGGGGGCATCAAAATCTGACTTTTTGAATCCTGAGAGTTTGTGAGCCAGGGGCGATTTGGCGTGCACGTGGGGGGTGGGTGGACAGAAGTAGGGGGCTGGTGTGGAAACGTCAGTCCTCTGCTCACTCTGCTCACTCCTCCGTCAAGGATCTCCTACGTCCCCATCATCTCTTCTGCGTCTTTTGGTGGTCTGCACCCGTGCGGGCCAAGTGTGCAGGCATGGACCGAGGCTGAGCAGATGCTGCTGCCTGACAGGGAGTCTGTGAGACGGCCGTCCGTTCCTCCCCGCCCTGGTCCCCTTCATGCCGTGCTGTGGGCTGGGCCATCGCCGGAGAGCACAGCTTCCATATGTGAGTTTGTGGCTCTGGTGCTTTATCACAAGGGTTGGAAGAGAGAGTGTGTGTGCGTGAGGGTGATTAAGAGAAGATGATGAAGCAGACAGTCGCCAGCATGTGGAGGCTAATGTGCTTTATTATAATTGTTTCATGATGGGTTGGACTGTATGAATAATTCAGAGATGATCTGTGCAGGTGTTACATCAAAACAACGCGCAACTTTTATTGAAAATGTCATTGTTGCTTCAAAGAACCAGCCTGAATGGTCAGTGGATGGCTGCCAGCTTTCTCCCTCGATGTTGATCACTGTTCCCTGCTAGATCTATATCCAGAACCGATCCCGAATGCTGCAGGATTTAGCTGAAATATTTCAGTTGCACTGACCTGACAGTTTTCTGCAGAGCTCCGCTCTCGCTGTGCAACCCGCCAGACGCAATAAATCTTTTATTTCATATTTATTCTGGGTTTTGGACAGAGAGCTGAGGTTGTAATGTTTTCGAATGCAGAGGGGTCACACTGCAGGCACATGCTCGGTTGACAGTCCCACTTTATTGGGCTTTGCTGGTTTATCTCATGTGTCGTTTATGTTTTCTGGAATCAAAAGCTGTGTATAATGAGAATAAAACCACAGTGGCTGGTGGGTGTAATGAAATGCAGTGAGAGGGAAGTGTGAGTGCGTTTCTGCTACAGGTATGGCTTAAGATGGGAAATTTGATGATTACATGCATTTTTTTAATAATATTGTCCTTTGCATCCTTAATTCTGTCATTCAGCTGTTGTTGGCTTCTGGAGACCCTTTTTTGTATAACTCAAAGGAAGACAAATAGTTTATCCTTCTTACACTGTTTACCAATTCAGCAAGGCAAAAAAATAAGGATGTTTTTCCCTCATCCAGATAATCCTCCTGTACTGCAGATAAAGATGGTCATCCCTACTTGGAGTTTACCACTAGATGGCCATGTTACGCTTTTACTCTCACCCTCACACAAGCACACATACACTCACACATACTGTTAATGCATAAAACAATTTCCATGCAGAGACAAAGTGCTTTAACACCCTCAAGGCTGCGACATAAACTTTTCAATAGGTTTTTTTTTTGTTTTTTATTTCATTATCAGAAATTAGTTATGACGTCATCCCCAAATCCAAGACTGAAGCTCGTTGGACAAAATGTTCTGATCTCAGGGAGCCACAGCAGCCTAAGATGGCCCAAAACAGTGATATGTCAATACAGAAATGTGTGATAGTTATGGGGGTATTGGGCTCAAATGTTTA